TTTTTTTTTTTTTTTTTTTTTTTTTTTTTTTTTTTTTTTTTTTTTTTTCTGCAGTATCATTATCATTATCATGTTTGTACAACACAAACAATGGTCTCTTCATGTCTGTATGGAATCATAGTTTCAAGAGTATTCATACATGTACAAGTATATCTGCATATGTCAGTTATTTTCCCCCTGACTTCCACTCTGGGACTGCTGCATGATCAGTTGACAGTCAATGAATGGCAGTGTATCGAATGTATCTCTGATCTCTGCACTTAACAGGATGTTAAAGTTCCAAAACATTTGTGGTAAAGAGGCCGCTGCGCACATCACCCGTCCGGGCCTCTTTTGGTACTCCACCCCGGTCCTCTGGCAGGCAACTTGAATCGCAAATCCCCACATTGAGACTGCCTCTCAGTGGCACAGATCGTACGATAACACCATTTGCCCCACTAGTTAATCCACAGTGGATTGCGTGACTGGGCTTGAGTGGTCCAAACCCCATTCTCTACTCATACCCAAAACAGTCAAAACCCCTCGTTTTCTCTTCGCTTCCCCCCAAGTTCTCTTGAGATGAAAAAAAGCGTCCAATAGAATCGTCTTACCCACAATACCCTCAATTGAGACCCACCCATCCGAAAAATAGTACGACCCAACATCCATCCATACAGACCGTCCATCCATACCGTATGACCTGAAGATTCACCTTATATACCTGGTAGGCTCCATTCTAAGTACAAATTTGTACTCTAGAAGCCCAGTACCTACCTATTTTTCCTATTTTTCCCTCTTTTCCCTCTCTTTTTTCTCTCTCTTTTTACTTTCTTTTTTATCCTCAATTCTTATAACCATCTATCTCTTTTTGATACCCTCTCTTGTTGCTTTGTTTTGTCCTCTTTGTTTGTGCACTCATACCATACATACAATTGCAACAACAACTCATCTCTGATCCTACGGAGTACCAAGATTCGATTTCTTTCTTTTCTTCTCCTTGTCCCACATTTGCAACAGACAAATCCTCTTGTTACAAGTTGCTTGACACTCTCCCATCCTCTGCAGCACACTGTTTCTAGCGTGGCTCCTGTCAGAGTACGACTTGGACATCAGACAGACACAAACAAGGGAAAATCCTGCAAGTGGAGAGTCTACGAGGCAAAGGAAAAAGGGAAAAAAAAGAAAAGAAAAAAAAAAGAGGAAACAAAGGGATTTGATTGCTCGACAAGATCTTTTCAACGTTCCTTTGTTGCCAACCTTGGGAGGTACACTATACATACCTTACTTATATCTACCATCCTCGACCACGTCAACCTCCGTTTCACGAGCTTGGTTTTTCTGCCTATTCATCTTGCCTATAAATTTACACACCATACGGTTGTCTTTTTCCATCTTGGAAGCACACTTTACCACTTTATTTTCTGTCTCGTGAATTGCATGACTCGTCTCTGAATCCGGATCGCTCCTCTCTATATTTCTATTCATAATTTTTTTTTTCTCGACCACTACAATGGCCACCGAATGGTCTCTAGATTTTTGTCTGGTCTGTGATCGACAGACTCTCGGAGGCCCTTATTGCTCTCAAACTTGCAGACTAGCAGAACTGGATCTCGTTCCATCCGAACAATTACATCCTCCATCCAAAATAACCACAACCACAATCAAGTCCTCCCGTTCGCATTCGTCACGATCCTTGTCACCTTCTTCATCACAAACATCCCTCTCATCGCTACGAAGTAATGCCTCATTGAACTCCGCCCTGTCGAACCAATTCCAGAGCGAATTACGGGATTATGCCAGTTGTTTCGACCAGGTCCGCGATTTGAAGCGACGGATGACCTCATGATGCAATTCCATGCTACGCCTTATTCATCTTGTCCAAAGGGCAAACTCGATTCATTTCTATCCCTGTTTTTTCTACCACCATCTTCGGCAGACTGAAATAGCGTTGTTTTATTACCTTTTACTAAAATTCCCTGTGATCATAATGGAGTCCCCGCTCTCATTTTTCTTTTTTGCTTTCCCCAGGGCTCACACGTGTGAATGTTTGGGCATAAAGATACCTGTATTATGGAGTTTGTTGTCTATTAATAGCTAATGCATTGATGCTGACACGAGAAAAAAAAAAAA